TATATATATATATATATATATATATATATATATATTCGCAAAGTTCACGTGAAATTGTATCAAGGTACAAGATGCTGATTCTCGGTTAGCTATCGGTTAGGTCGAAAATGATCTATACGCGCGAGTCGAAAGTAAAATGGTCCAGGTTACGCGGCGTCGTTACATAAACGAACCGATCGCCGCGCTTACGTAAAGGACTCGCGAGGATTCTCGAAGAACCCTGGTAATAATAATCAACGGGATCGGTGATTAATCCTCGATCAATGATTAACGAGCCTACGGCGACGTTGATCGATCCTGACAGCCGTGGACTCGAGTCTGCTCCGAGAAAAATAATCATTCCTCGGGGGATTTAGCGTGCCGCTTACGATTGGCAACCGATTAATCGCTCATTTCAGCAAATTTCCAATTTTACAAGCCAGCAAAAGGTTTATATTATTTTTAATTAAACGATCAAGATAAACCGAAATGTATCGAGTATACTCGCTACATCGAACATTCGACGTCTCGATTAATCGCCGAAGAATTCGAGCGAGAAAGCAAGAATCAACGCTCGATTTTCCGTGAGCGACGCGCGCGCGTTTATCGACCGAAGGAGAAAGTAATCGAAAGAAAGTTATCAGCCGGCGAGGTTAATAGACTAACAGATAAAGTAAATCGGCCGTTCGCGTCGCGGGAAAAACTCCGAAGCCGGCTTTCAGCTCTGATGTAACGGTACGTCAGTGATACGGCGGCGGAAAAACACGAGATTGACGTAACGAAAAAAACGATTCAACGTGATCTCATGGAAAGAGACCGCCGCGACGGATCATCATGCTCCGGGACGACGAAAAGAGACCAAGACGAGAGACCCACCTTCTTCGCCCTGCTGTAGGCCTGCTGCTTGCAGTTCTCGCTCAAGTTCATGTTCAGATCGAGGTACAGGTAGTTGTTGTTCAAAAGCTGCGGCGGAGGCTCCATCGGCGGTGGATTGGCTTCCTTCCTGTGCCTCAATCGCCTTTCCGTGCGGTCCTGTCTTGTGCGGAGCACCAGCACCACGTTGCGATCCAACATCGTGATTCTTATCGATTAGAAACGGAATACCGAGAGCTTTTCTTATAATACTACACCGTGTACGGGCTAATACTTTTGGTATCGGATGCTTTTCCTCCAAGTACACTCTCTGTACAGACGATACTTTGAATCAGTCTTTGGGGTACCGAGATTCGTGGTGCGCTTCGTTCGTTCAAGTACAAAGTTGACTTTGGCTTTAGCCGCGGATCTCCGTTGATCACCGTTAAGCGTCTTTGGTTAAAGATACTGTGCAGCTACCAAAGATCGCCGCGAAGAAAATCGATGCAAACGTTTCCTCTTCGAACGTCCTAATCCCCGAACGAACGACCCCGGAAGACCTTCAGCCTCGGTAATGTTCGGTGACCGATCCTCCGACAGTCCTATCCCCAACGTCTCGACGAAAGAGCGGTTCTCGCAGGTGACGCGTCAGCGAACCGTACCAAAGAGTCCTCTTTACGCTGGCTCCATGCCCGAAACTCGCGTCCCCGCGGCCAGCGTCCAGGTCACCGTTCACCGAGAGTCCGGCACTGAATGAATCCCAAGAACGCGGCGACGCCCGGGATCCCGATTCATAGCGTCGTCGACGACGACGAGCGGGGAGGATGAATTTCGTGAAACGGACGATGCGTAGAATATGCGAGCGCCGGGCGCAAAGTCCCAGCATTTATTGGCCCGGGCTGCGGACCCTGGCGAACGTTATCTCGCGAGCGTCGGCCGCGCGTTATCGCGCCGTTGCGTTCCGTTCCGTTCCGTTCCGTTCCGTTCCGTTCCGTTCCGTTCCTTTCCTTTCCGTTCGGTAAGAACGGAGAAAAAAGGGAAAAAGAGAAAGAGCACGGGTAAAGAGGAGACGCGGCGACGACTGACGCCTGGCGCCATGATCCGAGGGAGAGAGATCCGACGGCGCCGGGAAAAGATCGTGACACGGGCGCGTGGCCCCCTTTTCTTTTTATCGGAATCGAACGTTCCGGAATCATCCGCCGATGCTTTTTCACGATCGACTAAGCTAGGCGGTTTCACCGATAACCGAGGTTCCATGAACGGGGACGATCCGGTGAAGATCTCTTGGGTCGAGAGTTGTTCGGCGACGTTCGCTATTATTCTTCGTTATTATTGTGCATCGGTTAGGCTTAGGGTATTTCGCGATATTCCTTCGAATATGGGTCCTTCGATTTCGGCAGAACGTAACGCGATACAAGTAATAGTGTCATCGGCAGTGAACTCTCGAGAAGTTAGGAATGGGAATAGATTCCAAGGGAAGAAAGACAGCCTCGAATCGACGGTCACCGAGAAAGCCAACAACTTTTTCTCTGGCAATAATGAACGCAATTGCTTCCCGATGGAATACACAAGTGTACCGGTAAACGCAGGTACACGTGTACGGCTTCCGGTTGTTAAGCACGCTTCCGCAGGAATCAATAGCGGTTACAATGAACCGTCCTCTATCTTTGTCCAAATACCAACAACAGGACTAATAACATTGGGATAGTCTTTACGCTTCCCTGCTTTCGATTTCAAGCAGAGCCGAGAAAACGGATTTCTCGGCCTCGGAGACGGGGAACGCTATACTTCTCTGGTGAACGTAAACAATGATGGCGGTTACTCGGATTTACTAATCGCCGGGAAGATAAACGCAGGCGACCGCGCGATGTCGTCACGTCGGCCAAACCTCCTTCTAATCTTCTAAACAACGATAAAGCGTGGCGCTCGATCATTTCTTCGGCTCCGATTGGATCTCCCGACGTTTTCATTTAACCCGTCGCGAGACCTTCCGATAATTTCCCTTCGAACGCGACACCTAACCCGTGCACGAAAAAGACAAAAGAAAGAGAAACAGATGAAAAAGGAAGAGAAACGAGGCGCGGCGCGGCGCGTCCGTTCTCTGTTTGCCGAGATAATCTGTCGCCGGGGCGGTATCTTCGCGTCGCTTCGAAGACGGCGACATTGAAAAACTTGGTCTCCGCCGAAAATAACGTCGCTGAGCAGACAAAATATCTCTGGAATTATTTTCGGGTTTCGCGAGGTTCAACGATCCTGATATCGAGCGAATCCGGATCGGGGGAGAAAAAATCAAACTGTCGCGAATTCGTCGTAAAAATTTGTCCAACGGGTGCACGCGTCCCGACTCGGAATCCATGACTGCTTGACCCCGTCTAATCTTAATTACCGGTTCCGACGAAACAGGAGGAAGAGCTGACGAAACGTTGTTTGTTCTAAGGAACGTGATGCAACAGTCGCGCGACGAATTCAGCCGGCCTTCCCTCGAACAACACACTTTCGATGCGTTTGCCGTTCCTTTAACTACCCTCTGGTATCTTCGGTACCTTTGGTACATATTTATACGCTTCGGTATCTTCGATAATTAATTACGAACTCATTTTGAAAAGATGTCTCTGATCTTTGGACAAATAAACGTCCAATTATAGTATTCGTATCCGACAAGAGTAATCGATCGAAGGTAATAGTGCGTCAACGATAGATCGGTGATTAATATCGGTCGCAATAAAGTCCTAATCAAAGCTAGATGAATAACAGTAATCATCCGTTATCGATCGTAGGTGCGAGCGGGCTTTAATCGCGGCAGATCGATCGGAACGTAACTGTTGTACAGACTCTGTTCTGCCAGCTATTCTTTGGCCAACCTCTGTACTGCTATTCCGTGCAACGATCTTTCTTGCCCGTCTTGCGATTCCTCGGTTCTACTCCTGCGCGGAGCGCTATACCACGGACGCAGTCCTTGATCCTAGACCTGTACCACGCGCATCAACCTCAAAGGAAACAAAAACTTTCCAACCGGAAAGGTGAACGTTGCTCCGGTTCTAGTCGTCGCGACTGTTGACAAAGTCCGAGCTACGTCGATGGCGCCGCATTTAATCGTGCGGCATTATCGACGAGACATTCGAGAGGCCGGGAACATCCGAAAATATCTGAGAGCGACGCAAACCGCTATCGACACGCGACAGTTTAACCAAACGCAAGCTACTGCGTGCGCTCGACGCGCGTGTTTACGCTAGTTACACGCTAAACGATCGATAAGCCTCGGTCTTTAGCTAGAGAAAACATCTGGGACTCGGCCCGCGATCGAGTTCGACGCGACCGTCTTCGATAACGTCGGCGAACTAATTGCTCGATAAAGAGGCGGCTTCGTCCGAAAAACACCGAATTGCCCAGACGAAAATAAACATGGAAAGAGAACCGTCCGGCGACCGGCGACCGGCGACCGGCGATCGCCGATCGGCAGAGGGGAGAGAGACGCGGAAAACGGAGACGAGGCCTCAGAAAGCGGTAATTACCGCTTTCTGTCTCGACGTTTCCAGCCGCAAATAACGGCTATCGACGTTACATCATATAAATCGCACGGGGGACGGACACGATCCGGGTAATCGCAGTGTTTATTTGCCTCGAATACTTACAATTACTCGCTATCGAGCAAGGAAAACTTGGAAAACTTGGAAAACCTGGAAAACCTGGAAAATCTGGATAAAACCGCGGCACGGTTCGAACGCCGCGAAATGGATCCTCCGCCGCATTGCGGGAAAAGGGACTCGTCGCATCGAGACCCTCCCCTATTCTTCGCTCGTTAAATCGCAAACAACCGAACAGTGAAATTCGTTTGTTCGAATTGATCGCGTCTTACCGCCATTACTTATTCTATCGTTTCGTTGATATTTCGCTTCGAAATATGTTGGCAATATATGCTGGACCGTCGTCCAGCCAACAACGAGATAATTCGCTAGCGAAATTGAATAGAAACGAAAAGAAAGTTTTCCTCGAGCAATGTATCGCGACAGAGCGAATGGTGTTTATCCGATAATCGTGACTAAGAGAGCAGATCGTTGCTCGGGGAGCACGATAGCGAGCGATAACGGGTAATCTCGAAGACACGGGGAAAGGAGAGGAGAGCGACGAAATTTCAAAAGACGAGAATAGAAGAATTTCAAATTTCCGATTGATTTTTCACGGAAATAAGTTAACGCGCCTCGATGGCGACAGAGCGCGTAGTTTGGCTACCGACTTCGGAAATGGCCTGGAGAGAACAGGCACGGTCCAATTAATCGCAATTTACGGACGGGATGTGCCAACAGTTGCACGGCCCGCTACACCCACTTATCGCTCGGATTATGGTATTACAATAAGTGTTTTATTATCGTCCGCGAGACGCGTGCTACGCGCTCGTTAATTGTTACACGCGTAGACGCCGGGAAGACCGGACACGACACTCCGAATTCATTTAAATGATATTCGAACCGCCGTGTCCGTCCTACAGCTGCCGGACGATCATTTCAATTCCCTGTCTTGTCTCATCCCTCTGCCCGTAATAGATGTTTCCGAAGGAAAAATCCTTCAAAGGGAAACGAAATTTCCAAGAAAGATATTTCAAAGCAGGATATTACGTTTGAGAAAAACAGCGAAAAAGAATATTACCGATCGCTGCTTCTAACGTTGGAGATTCGCCTCCTTCGCGGAGATTTCAATGCCGGGGAACAGTAAACGCATTCTAGCGTCGTCGGGAGCAACTACATACGCGTAGTCGGCAACTAAATCATCCTGAAAGTTGTCGACCAAGTTCCCTCTCGGAGTTTGTCAATAGTAGAAAATGATTCACGCGAGCAGGCTGAGACTTTTCGACGAATCGCTTATCGTTATCGTCTCCGAGCAAACCTCGCGCTCCAACGCTACCGTTGCGTTGCGTATCCGTTATCGTGGCGGTGCCAGTGATTCACTTTCTCCACGGGTGAATTTTTGCTGACTATGGTCGCATTGTTTTCGGTCGATCGGCAATTTTTCGAGTCCTTTGTTCGAACGTTCTCGATAAGTCGCGAACGGTCGCTTCTTCGAGTTCCTATCACGGTCGATTCGAGTTTAGTCGGAATTTTATTTCGAATTCTTCGAGTTTTCGCCGCTCCGAGTCGAATCGAGGTAAATCATAGTTGTGATTCACCAATTTCAAGTTGAGCTAATTCGAAATGAAAGGAACGTCGGCGAACGTGACAAGTCGAAAATAAGAAGGACGTTTCGACGCAACCGTTGTCGAGTTGTTCCCTTGAAATCCTCGATTCGACCAGCCAGGTCATCGATTATTCCAAGAGCCAGTGTATGCAGCTCTGTGTGTCGGTGTCGCGCGACTTACAACTCCTTGGTAAACGCATTCGACTTCCAGGAGAGTGTATCGAATCGGCCGTGTTTCTCGATTCCGTCCATATCGACGTTCCTTCCGTTATTTATACGGAGCCGATTTTATACCGCCCCGCACCTTCGGGGACTAATATCTCGAGATATTTTCGGAGCGGAGCGAGCAGGATAAATTCGCTTCGAAGCATCTCGTACTTGGAAAATACCGGGGAGAATTTATTCGGGAAACTGGCAGGCCGAGAGAAAGCGAGCTCTTTCTATCGATGCACACCGACGATCGAATTCATCGAACGTTGCTCGAGACGAACGCGGCGGTTTCGGATATCTGAAAATACCCGATATAGCTAGGTTCTCCCAATAACGTTCGGAAATAATCGTTTCATCGAAATGTAAATCGTCGAGATTTTCCAAGAGTATCATCGAATTCTTTCGTTTCGTTTCGTTTCGTTTCGTTTCGTTTCGTTTCGTTTCGTTTCGTTTCGTTTCGTTTCGTTTCGTTTCGTTTCGTTTCGAACACTGTGCTCGAGATGATTTGAAAAATGGATGTCTCCGGATGGAGTCGGCCGAATTGACGCACTGCGGCAGATTATTCCAATTTCTCCGATCTAGAGATCGCCGATCGGAGATCTTAATCCCATCGATACCGACCGCATTGACGTCTTTCGCCTGCTGCCACTCGAACCCTCGAGCCTAAGTAAGTACAGAAGCGGCACGTGACCACGAACGCGATCGCCAACGATCGGACCGACGCGAGAGAAACGCGTGTAAATCTAATCTCGATGACGTACACGGCGTGGATACGATTACATCGGGTCAGAAATCGAACGGGCGACGATTCGAAACGGACGCGTTCGTTTTCGCCGATTTTTCTCCGTATCGAGGCGACCACGAATCCGATCCGATCTGGGTCACGTCGAACAACGAAACACGATCGGTCCGCGTCGACCAGGCTCGATACGAGATCGATCGCGTTTAATCCGCCGAACAGGAACGGTGGAACTCGAAAAAATCATGTTGCTTCTCCACGGGGACCAGAGTTCCCAGCCGTTTCTTGGCTTTCGCCTTTGGTCTTTGCTTTTCGCACCTTTCAAAGAGGTTTCGCAGGCCCCTGTGTTCGATAGATCCTAGAGACGACTTCCTTTGTCGCTTTCTATCGATCGAGAAGGGAAAAACAGAGGAACGTAAACAGCTGGATCTAGAATCGAACGGCTAAAGGATGGTACGCGATAAATCGCGATGCCCTAGAGATTAGTCGTATCGATAAACGGGAGCTGCGTGTAGCTTTATCGGGCCGCTCGGGAAACATCCCGAGCCAATTTCAAGACTTTTCCATTCATCCTGTTAAGTCGCACGCGCGCACAATTACGCCGACCAGATTAGATAAAGACGACGCAGTTAGCTTCCAGTGAAAGCCACCCACGAATTTCCCATCGGTTTCCCGTGGTACCTGGACGCGGCGTCACGCATCGGCGATACGTGAAACTCCAGCTACCGACAATTACGGGGAAAATGATAATCAATGGGAATCGCTGGCGCATCTTTCATTAGAAGCGGCCCCCTACTCTTCCTCGTCGGGTCATTGTCTCCCCGGTTCCTAACGAGACGAAAACTCGTTAACTTTTTCTCGCTCGGGAGCTTCGCGAGACAATCGAACGCTCGAATTGCCAACGAGAACGTTTACCGCCTTTTCCTTCGATATAGGACAATTCGAAAGCTCGACGTTCTTCGAGAATTTCAAATTGAACTTGTTTCAACTTCAATTTCCCGCCAAGCTCGGACGGTCCACTCACCGATAGTCTCAAACTTTCCCCGATAGTCTCTCGTTTCAAGGACAACCTTCTTTCTCATTCTAGGCGCATTCGAATGCTCGTTGTTACCGGTACAATGGAAGAAAGGTCGCGGAGACTCGAGATGGACAAAGGATCGAAAGCGTTGCAGGGTTGCAGCGTTACGGCGCGAACTTACTGACCGCGGTCGATACCCGGAAGTGCGAAGGGATTTTTTGTCGGTCGCCTGAACTTGGCCTTTGTCCAACCGCGATAGCCGTCTGTTTTGACTCGAGCACGGGACGTCGATTTTACGGTGCAACCGTCCCGAGAAACATCGATCGTCACCTCTCGGTCGTTTCTTCTCGGCCTGTGTGCGTGTTGACCTCTCGCGATTAATCGTCGAGAACCTCTCGATTAACCGCTACCACCACACAGATACATTCTTTCCTTCCCTTCCCTTTCTTTCGACAGAGCTGAAGAAAACAGCGCAATCGCTTTTCTACCGTATCCCTGCATTACGGCGCAGAAAAACGGCCTGCGGCGACAGAACCCGTCAGAATTTCAAATGATATTCCCGGCTCGAAATCGGTCGATCGATCGATCGATCGAACGAGTAACGACATTCGAAGCGGTTCGTCAGAATGTCCACCGACGAATTCTCGTTCTCGTTAACAGTTGACCGCGCTCAAGTTTCGACTCTTCGAAAGAATCCTGTACGCGTGCAGGCCCCCGTTCAAATTCTACAGCCGAAGAGCCGCGCGGTTCGCCTTTCAGGTTATGAACACCGCATCGGTCTCGAGAGCCGAGAAACGATTCCGCGGATCGGATTAGTCGGAGATCGTCTCTGTGTCCGGTCGCGACGCGAGAGAATCTCGGTGTAGTCGAATAAATTGCAAGGGGCTTCGACGACGCGCGAAAGCTACATAGCAGACGGCCCGCGAATCCCGGAACACTCGCGGCTGCTCGTTTGAAAATCGGCGCGCGAAAACGTCCCACGTACCGGCCCGCGAGTTCGCCGGTCGAAACGAAGGGACGAAGAAACGTTTCACTCACCATTTGATGCTGATAAGGGTTCCGCTTGTCCCACCGATATTCCTCCAGCTGCAACGACTCGTAACGTTCTTTTTTACGCAACCGAGAACGCGAGTGTCTGACGACCGATATCACCACAGCTGGGCCCATCCGGCCATCTTGCCGTGTATCGAAACGTGTACTACACTGCGCTGGCGTATTTTCCCACCACCCTCCCTTCTCTCTTTCCGCCCCCTACCGACGAAACCTCGTGCTCTCACGGTAATTGCGTAACTGCCCGGGACACTTTCCGTGTCGCTGTCTTCGTCCCGTGCACGGCACCCTTACCCCCGCCATTCGCCGTTTCTTTTGGTCTCGTACCGTTTGCTGGCTACACGCGCACGTATTTCTCCGTGTACATAGCAACGACCGCGAGTGTTCAACTTGAACGAAATTCTCCAACGATTTCGACTCATTTTCCTAATCTAAAGCTTTCTGCGCAACCGCGCAACGCGCAACGCGCAACGCGCAACTGCGCATCGAAAGGATCATTTTATCTACATGGGATTTATCTGCGCGACACTACACTTTCCTATCGTAGGTGAAAGTTTCAACTTTTCGGAGATGGTGTGGCGATTCGCTACTCGCGGCGCCACTCTACGGTCCGACGTGAATTCCACGTCTGCGACATTCCCAAGAACATTCACCGCGGAACTAGCAAATGACAGACAAGATTTTTCTAGCTGAATTTCATTGATAGAACACGATGCGTGTAAAGATTGTAGAAAATTGTTTTATTCGATCGACTTGCCGATGGTGGTACGTAGTCGAAAAGGCAATCGTTCGTGATGCGATATTTACATAATGTATAACTAGAGTATATATGTACAATTGACAATATGTACAGCGCTTTAGAATTTAATCAAATAAATAAATTAACTACTGCTAAACCAATCGGAACCCATTGCTCCGAAAAATGCTGCTGCTCCGGATTTTATAGTGGCTCCCGTCGAATCGTTCTTCACGTTTTCCTTGCCGGAAAGCTTTTTTCGCTAAAACACAAATACAATTTCTTCAACTGTGCGTTAGTTCCGCCTTCTCGACCGTTTCACCCCAATAGAGACCAGACAGGTACAGATACAGATACAAAGTCAAGCACGTAAGAAAGCGTATCAGGAAAAATACAAAAATTCATTCAACCGTTAAAGATTAGTCCATTCTATCGGAAAACTTGGCATGCAGTGTTCATTCTCTTACCCGCAATTAAACGCACGACCTATCTTATCTGTGAACGCTCTGGGAATCTAAGAGTACATACGTATTTGTAAAAAGAAATTCGTGAAAGATCGCTAAGTAATCCTCGAACGTGCAATGGTCGGACACGGTTTGAAGAGTGTGCACGTTACACGCTGGAAATCGTTAACATTCCGTGTACCTGAGTTTTCTCTGGCAGCGTTACAGACACCAAAGGCAAATTCCTTGCTGGGGCTGTCACGGTCAAAGATGGAAACCACGGTGCACCGTGGCATAGAGCTAATACTGTAGGCAAGTCTGATTTGACACCGTCGGTGTTGCTGTATTCGTTGCGCGCACCCAAAATTGAATGGAGCTGCTCCAAATGGGGCACTAAATTTCCCAGTATAAGCTGCGAAACGATCGATAAATCAGACTCGAGGTATCATAGAATTGATCGGCATCGAACGATCTACCGAAAATCCTCACCAAACACCTCTGAACGCTCCTCTTCACGTTAGTGCGAATAAACGGATCGAAGACATCGTAATCGAACGGATCTATTTTCGACAACACGGTGTCACAAGCTTTCGCAGACAAGTCCGACAAACTCTTATTTTCTCGTGGCACCATTAACAACGTGCAATACTTGACGTCGAACAACACTTGGAATGCTTGTTTCTGCGAAAGATTCGCAGTACCACATGCAGATACATAGTAACTTAACAACTCTTCAGCAATATCCTCTATTATATCGTGAAGTACCTTCCTACGATTCAAAGATAAATACATATCCCATTCGTAACGAAAACCAAACACTCGAAACTGACTTGTTCTTACTTTGGAACAGTGTGTGGTATTATTTTATTCAAGTCTTTACTAACTGCAGTCAAGAACTTCTGCAATTGTATGGACGGCTGGTACGGCACCAAGATTTCCGATTTGATCCTTTTACCCTCCCCGGAGTCTTCTTCGATGGTCACCTTCTGCCATTCTGAAATTACTGTATGTATCCGATAACCGTCGAACGGTTCTTTCGATATATACTTGCTTCTGTACTCGTTTATTTTCCTTCTGTAGTCACTGGCCCAAACCGACCACACGGACGTACTGTCCTCTTTTAATTTATCGCACATCGACTGCCACTTCGCGTTGCTAATACTTAATCCAGACACCTTTGAAAGCGTGAAACATTTATTCAAGTTCGAGCTAAGAGTCGTCAATGCCAAGAAAAATCTTGCCATTACGACAGCATTTATGTCACGCTGACCGTGCTCGGGTTCTTCATTGACACACGTGCTCTTCGCGAAATTAATCAAATCTTCGATCATCGCAGAACTGATCGTCTGCAGATGTTCCTGAATTTCCGCGCGATCGGAGAACGTATCGGAAACCAGTGATATATTTGTAGACAACAGATTGTCTTTGATGGACATCACGCGCTCAGTCTCGTACAAATATTGCTCGAGATCCTGAAGCAAGGCTTGCAAGCTGCTATCGAAATTTTCACACAACTTGAGAATGTTCGGTGAATATCCTTTGGTTTTCATTAGCAACGGTCTCTTGCCATCGAGGCCCCCGTTTTTAGTCAGCTTTTGAGGAATATCGCTGGGCGAATCTTTCCAAACGAACCATCGCAAATCGTGTTCCGGATACTCGAATTTATCGTTTCTCAATTTATGGAGTAGCTCTACCACATCCGCTTTTAATTTAGCTACGGTTTCCATCCATTTATCGTTTATAATATCTACAAACATTCAGAAGAACAATACGCTACAATTCAAATCTATTTCGCGTCCAAGAAAACACCATCGTTCTCTACTCGACGTACCTTTCGTTTTTTCAGTTATGATAGGTTGAAAATATTCCACCCAAAATGTTATCCTAGGCAGAGACAGTTCTTCCCAAATGGAATTCCAATTTTCAGGAAGATTAATGCTAACCGCTTCCTCGCGAACGTAATATAAACCTTTTATGGAAACGATCAGATTCAACAGCTTTCTGACCTCACAGTTACAGAACTTGGCAACCCACTCCAGCCAGGACTTGATACTCTTTTGCAAATCCGGCAACAGAAATTTCCCTGGATTATCCTGAACGAACGGTTTGTGCTGTTTCGTAACAGACGGAAGAAACTCCGTCAGTAATTCGTGGTTCACATCCAACTGAGAAAGTAACAAATACGCTTCCTGATCTTGAATTTTTACTATGTATTGCAGAACAAGACCCCCCGGTTTGTTCTCTGAACCTAAAACGTACAACTTACTTGGCGGAATCTACCCGAATCGGTGTATAACAGACGAATGTATCGTTACTCACTGATAAAACAAGAATGTATTAAATTCACTGTTTGAATTAATACGTTGATGCACAGTTTAATCTTGTTCTTAACGTTACTGTCGTTTTCATCGGTGATGATAGACTTGATGGCTTGACTGCGCATAGATATCAGCATGTCTAATAGATCTGTAAACGACGTCCCATTTAATAACACAAGCGCGGCCAAACAGTTTGCGACGCTCTGAAAAAGTAATCTCTTTAACATTACTATCTACGATGGACGCACGTAAAAGAACATCACCGACCTCTGGCTGAACATCCAACGACTGCAATATGTGATTGCATTCGCTAGTTATAACATTTTTAAATTGAGTAATAATGTCCCACTGTTTGGAAACGATTGGATATTTAGTTGACAAATCGTTGTTTCCCACTTCAAATAATAAACTATAATTTATATGCTGCGCTATTAAATACAACTGTGTGGCAAACAATAAATTCTTGGACTCGATATTTGACCAGATATGCTGAGGAACGTCCATTAATATTTTTATCTGAATAACGACAGAATCCTGAATTCCTTTGCAATTTCTAAAAGTAAAATAAACCATGAAGGAACAATTTCATTTCTCGTTTAATTTACCATAATATAAAATGACAGTTGCGTACCTATCGCTCTCATCCTTAATCGGTTCTATTTTAAAACCGATAAGATACTTTTTCTGTAATTCACGAAATTTATCCTCGATGCTAACGATTCTTGAAATGACACGTTCAGAAGTTATCTTCATTTTCCCTATTGTGTCAGCGGCGAGTATCAAGTCACGGTACCTCTCTCTGAAAAACATTGAAATTTTCAAACAGCTACCGATCCTACTTCGGAAGCAGAGCAAATAACCTTTCACGAGAACGTGTCATTGACATTATATTAGTAGCAACAATTGTAATAAGCATTCGATAGCGTTTCCGAATCGACGCAATATCTCCTCTGTAAAACGAGGAGAGGGCAGAAATATTAATCTAAACGAAGTAACCGAAGGCGAGTGTTACCCAACAAGAGTTCTGAGCTCAATTTTCTTTCTGTCACTCTCATGTTGAATTTTCTTTTGGATCCCTTCAATTTCTTTGATCGTAAAATCCTCGAACAATTTATTAATGTCCAGGTCCAAATAATTTGTTGCCGTCATTTTCTTTACGTTGGCGTATTCGGAACCCGGTTTTTACACGTAGCACAAAATCAACAGAAACATATTTCCAATCGTTATCACCTGCACTCAAAGCGAAAATGTTTGCACATTACGACTGCTAGATGACGACACAAGTATATTCCTTTCGGAACAAGTGAGACTGTAACTTGTCGGTAACTTCTCGGTCATACTTGTTTGTCGATTTTGCCACGGACGGCGCCGCCGGTCAAAGGAACTTTTCGGGAAGCTATCGAAGGATTGCAACGACGGATTATCGGTACGACGATAGAAATAGTACCTTTAAAATTGTTCAGTTTTAATTGTTCAAATATATCGGACATTTAGTACACGCATCTGAAAATAGAAAACAAATCTAAGCGAGTGCGCGTAAAATTAGTACAGAGGACGCATTTATCTTGATTATTGTACAGGTACGTTAATTACAATACACCGCACACTTGTGCCTCATATAGAGATTACCTGAGATCAAAATCCTTAACACGCATATATATATATATATAATATATGTATATAGAAATTGTCGCGTACAACTTGGCATTTAAATACACCTTGCGCACAAATTGGAAGAAGATGGTCTTCGACTAAAATTACACCAATAATTCAATGCAAAAGCACCGCATAATAATCGACGATTTTTATAGATCAGATCTACCGAAGTACTTTTTACGAATAGTTTTCGTATATGTGTATACGTTTATAAAAATAACGTAGGAAATTTTTTATATATTTGTTGAGAATGAGCATGAAGTGTAATTTGAACGACTGCAAGGTATCCCCGTTGGTGCAGTCCGACGCCTTCGTAGCTGTAGTTTAAAAATAACTGATACGCATGGCTGGCATTTTTAATCGTGAACAGTATTATCGAAGTACAAGAAATCCTGAAACACAAAATTGCATCTCGTGAATGTTCGAGGAAACAAGAAAGCCGCTAGCGGTGACGTTACTGCGGAAAAAGCCTTACAATGAGTAGACACGCGCCGAGCAGAACGGCCTTGATTTTAACATCCAAGTCCAGAGGGAAGGAAATACCGAAATTATCGGCTTCTGTAAATATCTCCTTAGCGAAACCGCCCCATTTTTTCCGAATAACTCCAACTTTGTGTTCACCGTCCGCAGACCTCACCTGCGACACGTGCAAAGGCATCCTCGGTTAAATGCACGACCTATCCGTCTACCTAACCGGCCGACAAATACCTTGAACGCCACTTCCACGCAAAACTTGAACCACGGCCCTTTAATAGTCAACACGGTATCCCCAGCTGCGTTGCGAACCGAAAAGGAAGGCCGCCAGCAACTCCAATCTTTCGTAATTGAACCAAGCAACTGATCACCGGAATAAACCTCTAGTTCCTAAACAAATAAATCGGTGTATCTAGAATACGAGACATCGAGGATCGTCCTTCTGTGTGCGCAAAGAGAGACATCGAAAAGACAAACTCCGAAAATGTTCGTCCGCTTGGAAGGGTACGCGCGCGCGCGCTGCCAAAAAGGATCGTCAGCGGAGTGACCGGCCGAGCGGTGCCGTTCAAAGAATAATATCGATCGTGACCGGGCTTCCCGATGGGACGGAATAACATTTTCGTCAAAGGTGATCTCTCGTCACAGATGGTGCGCACGTGTGAGGCCAAGTTCGCGCGTCGTATGCGCGCCGCATGTTTCACCGAGTCTCTAACGGGCAACGTTTTGCGAGCCGCCATAAATGACAGGGGCAATTAAGGGGAACGCGTGGACCGACGCGTCCTTCGTGAACCGATCGACTATGCAGGTACCTACGGTCATCCGCGTAAAATACGACTGCGCACCGGTCGGTCGAAATCAACCGAAACGAATTGCTGCGGGGATCCGCATAAAGATTCGCGACCTAGTAATAATTCCAGTAGGATTCGAACGTGAACCTCGACGAGGAAATCCGTCGCGGTTGGCTCGTGAATATTCCTGGCGTGGTCGATCCCAGTCTCAAGGATGCCCGTTGTTTCTTTCCACACCGCGAAAAGCTGATATATATATATATATATATATATGCATACGCGCGTGTACCTGTAAACAGCAACAACAGCAGCAGGCATCGCACCTAAGGGGTCGAACCATTCGAAGGACTTCCCTCGTGTCGCCGGTCATCACTCGAAACTCGCAGCTACGGTACGAGCCCAGACACAAGCGTGCACATATTCCGGACTCTTCCGCAACGTAGAACACTGGCTCTCCCCTGATGTTCACCACGTTGTACTTCCTTTCCGTGACGAACCCGGTAAAGGCTGCACACCCGATTCCAACAAACCGTACGATTAACATTTTCCTTTGTCATTGGTTTTACGAAAGAAAAACGCATAAAATCGTTCCACGAAGATACGTTCCTAAACCCGAACGCTTTCGAACCCGAGATCTTTCGATGGATAGGGCAGGCCTTTAACTCGCTAAGCTGTTTCGAATTATGTGCTCCGGGTTTAATGGTCGTTTAAGGTTCCGGCGTGCTCTAACGATCCGTTCGGGGCTACCTCGCGTTCGCGATTCGAGATAGCAAAGATACCAAAGATAATAGATCTCTCGTTCTCGAGCGACCCACCTTCGAGTACTGGAACTTCCTGGCGGACGAAAAGATGATCAAGGGCCATAAGGTATTCCAAGCCGGGTGGACAAATCGTATTCGGCAGTGACCAGCCACCTGAAATCAAATCGATTCTCTTTAATCGGTTAATCGTCTCTTTCCCTTTTCTCTATCGTCCGTACTGTGCGCGTGTTGTATCGTTTTCTCTATTCTTGTCGTATTCTAATCTAGGAAAAATGTAGGAAAAATGTAGGAAAAATGTAGGAAAAATGTAGGAAAAATGTTGGAAAAAACAAGCAACCCAACAACAAGGAACCCCGACGAGAGTCACCTCTTTTCCTCGTCGCTCAGGAATCTAGTGTAGCCCTTCCGCTTGGATCGGTATCTCTGCACCGTGTTCCGGAATAAAGTGCGGAATCGCCTCCGTATTCGTTGCACTTTTTCTTTCCACGAGGTCTCGAAGTATTCGGACTCCATCGCACGCGCGCGCGTCGAACAGGTTCACTCGCGAACCCCCATTGCCGATAACGCGCAACACACCGCGAGAGATGGAAATTTCTCCTTGCCGCGAATGGCGCTGTGAAAATCGCTCGTCGATTTTCGCCGCGACAACTGGAATCGCGTTCCCCGGTGTGTACGCTGGTGTACGCTATTAGATGCTATTGGCAGCGCCCGATGAACTAACAATCAGTTGTTTTCTCGAGTCTCTCCTACTCGACGAAACGATAAAACTTGTGTATTTTTCCTGGGACACATTTACTTCCTCGGACTGGTCCGCCTCGCGACACGTTATCTTCGTAGATAAAGAAAACAATAAATACTTCTCCTCTGGATAAAGGTTTTCCAACCGTTCGAAACGGGGAGCGTTAGAACAAGTGATCGTTGTTGTACGCGCGACGAGAGAGAAGATTCCAGTTGCCACCGATGTAAATGGGGAATATTACGCTCGACGAGATATTCTCATTTTCCATCGGTCGAATTCGGCTGATCTTTAATCGTTTTCCCGCGCGATCCATGAATAAGCTGGCAGAACCGAAGCTAACGCGAACGGTGTCTACTAACGCGAAAGACAGAAACGAACCTCTCTCGTTTTACGCGATACGATTGCAGCCCTTCGACGACAGCGAATCGTACGCCGACGCACGTCCGGCTGGTCGCGTCGTTTCGCAGATTGGCCGGGATATTATTTAATCTTCGTACACCGTTAATTAACCATGAATCACCTCAACATGCAACCGACCGCCTCTTATCCGCTCGAACCGTTCGACGTCGAACAATTTCCATGCGTCTATTTCGATGATGCGACTCCTCGTCGTTGATGCTTTCAACGATTCGAGCTTCGCCCGATAACGTGTATCGT